CTAGACGTGGTGCAGGTGGTGTGAGTAACACACGCGCTGTGTTGTATGAGACGTTGTGCGGCATCGGGTCTGTGCGAACTAATTTTGCATCTTTTGTTATTTGTTAGAACTATCGTGCCATTTACTTGCTGTGAAGCCAATTGTTAAAATAAGCCATCTGGTAATATAAGCCAATTGTTAATATAAGCCAATTGTTAATATAAGCCAATTGTTAATATATTCCAATTGGTAAAATAAGCCCTCTGGTAATGTAAGCCAATTGGTAATATAAGCCCTCTGGTAATATAAGCCAATTGTCAATATAAGCCCTCTGGTAATATAAGCCAATTGGTAATAGAAACCAATTGTTAATATAAGTCAATTGTTAATATAAGCCAATTGTTAATATATTCCAATTGTTAATATAAGCCCTCTGGTAATGTAAGCCAATTGGTAATATAAGACAATTGGCAATAGTTCAAACGTTGCCAGAATAATAGCAGCCACGCCGGCCGCGACGTCGGCATCTATCAACATTAGTGCGAGATAATATTTCTAGCTTTTAAATGTTAAGAAAGGCGTTTTGGCTTAGAGTTCACAGCTGGTAATTCCCGTGCTCTGAATTTCTGATCTGTGAACCAGGATTGACAAATTAGTTCCGTAATGAAATTAGAACCTGGAGAAATGGAGGAGAGATGGCAGCTGTTAAGTCTAGGTGAGGTGTTTGAATCATTGTGAGGTGTCTGAATCATTGTGAGGTGTTTGAATCATTGTGAGGTGTGTGTATCGTTGTGAGGTGTCTGCAACATTGTGAGTTGTTTAAATCATTGTGAGTTGTTTAAATCATTGTGAGTTGTTTAAATCATTGTGAGGTGTTTAAATCATTGTGAGGTGTTTGAATCATTGTGAGGTGTTTGAATCATTGTGAGGTGTTTGAATCATTGTGAGGTGTCTGGATCATTGTGAGGTGATTGAATCATTGTGAGGTGTTTGTATCGTTGTATGATGTCTGCAACATTGTGAGTTGTTTAAATCATTGTGAGGTGTTTGAATCATTGCAAAATGTTTGAATTATTGTGAGGTATCGCTTAACTTCTCTATCGACACATCTTGGTTGGCATCGGGAAATTGTCATTACCAACATGAGGATTAATTTTGCGATAATCTACAATGAGTCTAATGTTGGAATTAGGCTGTCAAACAATTACTAAATATCGAGTAGCGCTTCCGCCACTGTCTGACTGTCAATGTACTTCAAGGGAACCGCGTCGGGATATTTGGTTGATAAATCAATTGACACTAGTACAAAACTATTTCCACGTGAAGATTTGGGCAGCGGACTTATGATATCAAGAGCAACTCTGGCAAAGGGTTTATCTATGATTGGCAAATTAATTAACGGAGCCCTAGCGGGTTTGCTTGAAACTTTAGTTTGGCAGATCTCACACGATTGACAGAACCGTCTGACGTCATCGAAACAACATGGCCAATAAAAGTGATTAAATATCCTATCCTATGTTTTACGCGTGCCCAAATGGCCCGACAAAACCGTATCATGAGCCAGCCTCATTACTTTAAGCCTAAATTGGGTGGGAAGGACTATCTGCTGCACAACATCCTTCGCACGTCTGCCACGATTGTTCAGCCTGAGCAGCACACCGTTCCTAGATACGGATCGCGGATAGCCGATTGAAATGGTCCCGCTTTTTCGGAAGTATGACTTTAGCGAGGTGTCTTCACTCTGGAACAACACCATATCATCAGCCGATAACTTATCAAGGTCAAATTGTACCGGTCTCGAACTAAACTTCGTTGGCATCGGCAATTTTCCACACGAATGCTCTTCCTTCTGCTGGGCTCTCGTTTGCACGGCACACGCGTGCTCACCAGCCACTTCTTCGGTCGCGGCCCCAGCGACGACTTCAATCCACAAGCACAGGTGGCACCTGGTATGTTGCCTAGCAGCACATAAAACGGAATATCAGTTAGACATAGCGCTTCTGCTCTTCCGGTGAAATGTGGCCAATTCAGATCTATCATTGCCTTGGGGGCGTTCACGGAATGCTCATCTGCAAAAATTAATCTGTCCGTCTCCTAAGAAATGTTGCCTTCAGGAACTAGAGACCTCCTGACCACGACCCCAGTATATAGGACACGTATCGCGTAGCACTCTGACACTCTAGCCATTACAGGAACCATGAGAAATGGGAAGGTAATTTTTTCAATTGTTGAACTCCGCATTCGACAAAGATGCATTGACATAGAGGTTACTGTCTTTTATCCGCAGGAATAACTCTTCCTTGGGTCAGGGTCGGTTGAAGAAGACCCTTTCACTGACAGAAAATTGACCGCTGTTTTGAGACACTTAGGCCTCTCCGATCGAGCGTGCCGAAAGCGAGACACCTACGGCCGCCCAAGTGTCTCAAAATCTGAGATTTTGAGACACCTATGTGTCTCAAAATCTGAGATTTTGAGACCTATGTGTCTCAAAATTTTCAAAAAAATTGTTCATTTTCTCAATAAATCTACGGTAATCGCAACCACTCTTTCAGAAGTATTACAATATTGTCGTAGCATACATATCCTTTCTACATTTATCAGCGCACATTTGAATCAGTTCCTACTACCGACATCACCAATGAAAATTTTCGATATTTTTAGTGGAAGGTTATCAATAAAAATCATTTATAATGCAAATACTAGATTTTATTAAGTTCGACATAATACATGGGACACTTAAAAAAGCTAATAAATTATTTTCATCTGTGAAAAAAAATAACAAATGATGAACAAGACCGATAATTATTCGCGTATGCTGCATCTGACTGTCAAATTAGGCGAAGGAAAATACAAATAGAAAACACAGCTAGACGGCAGGAATTAGCATAACGGAAGAATAGTTGATAAGTAGAAAGAAACACCCCACCGTCGAGCGAAACAACACCCAACCGTCGAGGGAGAGGAAACCAAAATATCGAGGAAGAGGACACCATACCGTCGAGGGGAGGACACCATACCATCGACTGAGGGGACACCACACCGTCGAGTGAGAGGACGCCATACCGTCGAGATCCAGGTTCTGATCAGGACAGCATCTGAAAAATTTGAAGATGGTCATAATCCGCAAGAGGAATGAATGATAATCATAAAATTTTAACCTCAGCCTGCAAATACTGTTATCACTGTTTCACAGAAATGAAGATATAATAAAATCCTCCACACTATTCCACAAAAAGAATTGAAATTGAATTTCATGGGAATCAAGAGCTTTGTGGAAAAACTTAATAATATACGTTTAAAAATTAATTTTAAAGACAACACTTCTAAAAAATCAGGTGTTTCCAATGTAAAACATTTACAATGATTTTCTAATTTTAATTTCGCATATAAAAAAAATTAATTTTCAAATTATTTTAATACACAAATTTCACAAAAGAAATTAAATTTTCAAAATTATTTATTCTGTCAATTGATTCATGCATTGTCTCCGACTTTATACAAGTCTGTAAAATTTCAGATAGATTGGACAGCTAGAAGTGTATTAAATATTGATTATAAGATTTGTAGCAGACAATTATTTTTTTAATTTTTGAATATTAAAAAAAATTATTTTTGAAATTATTTATTCTGTCAATTGATTCATGCATTGTCTCCAACTTTATGCAAGTGTGCAAAGTTTTAGATCGATTGAAGAAGTAGACGTGTGTTAAAAATTGATTATAAGATTTGTAGCAGACAGACAAATAGACAAACAAGAAGTGAAGTTGAAGAGAAGTGTTGTAAAATATGCATTTAAAAATTACTTTTCAAAGACAACACTTCTGAAGAATCCAGTGTCTCTGGTGATACACATGTACAATGAATTTCTAATTTTATTACGAAATATTAAAAAAATAATTTTTTAATTTTATTTTTATATTGAAAAACTGAAATTTTTTAAAAGTATTTAGTCTGTCAATTGATTCATGCATTGTCTCCAACTTTAAACAAGTGTGCAAAATTTCAGATCGATTGGAGAGGTAGAAGTGTGTTAACTATCGATTACAAGATAAGAAGCAGACAGAAAAACAAAGACAAACAAGAAGTGAAGTTAAAGAGAAGTGTTGTAAAAAATATTAGCAATTTCTGCTATTAAGTGTCAAAGAGATTCTGGTGACACTCCTGAAATTTTTATGATAGCAAAGAAAGTATCAGAAAACTAACCTGCTTATAAAAGCTCATCATGGAGTATGATGCAAAGTGTTCTTTTGTGTATGATGCAACCTCTTCTTTTCTGCTATAAGCCCTCAAGTTCCTGAAATAGTACAATGGCAATAATTAAACATACTATAATAACTATATCCAATTTACAGAAAAAAATCAAGTTGTATTATTAATATCACCATAAATTATTACTTATCACTTGGGTTATTAATTTCTACGAAATCAATTCTGGCAAAGAATACCTAGCTCCCCTTACATCATCAAAAATTCCCTTTTGGATGCCATTTTGCCATCTGATTCTCTTCATTTGGCCTCTTCTTGCCTGAACATGCCGTCAAGTTCCTGCAACAGTAGAATGGCAATAATTTAACATATTACCTTAAAGAAATTCAGTTGTACCTATTATCATCAACGGGTAATAAGGAACAGTTTTGAGCGTTTTTTGTTAATAACTTCTTACCATGAAGCATTTTAAACTTTACACCACTGTTTCTAGTTTTTCAATATTTTAATTAGTTCAGCTGCTCCATTTATACAAAATTTCAGAGGATGGTCCCTTATTTAGTTATTATCCTGCCTGTCCCTCATTGCCCCTTTGATAGATTCATCTCATGAAAAAGTATCACTGAAACCTTGGTCCTTGGGTTAATAATTTTCAAGAAAACTATTCTGGCAAGAAAAGCTAGCACACCTTTCATCTTAAAAAATTCTTTGGAGCACTAAACATTTCTATAAACAAAAAATAAACAGCAGTCTGTAAATTCACTCAAAGTCCAGCAGTCAGCAGACTTACCTCTGTTTAATGGAAAAGACTTGTTCCTTTTGACTTGACCACAGGACTTTTAACCCAATCAACTTGAAAAGTTTTTGTTTTTGAATACTCTTCACTTAGACATTGTTTTTAAATACCACAAGATGTATATAACTGAGGCTGCAGCAACAATCCACTTTGAACTTCGCGGCCATCTGTTCACACAGCTCAACGTCTTATGGATCTTTGTTTTCCGCACTTTCTTTTTGAAAAAGTTTTTGTGTGTTGATGTTGTATACATGGTTTCTTAGAGTGGTAACGTTCACACAACCCTCGACCTCACTTCGAAAGTTCGAACAGGAAAATTCGGCAAGTGGCAATGCTAACTCGAAGTCTCGAATATTTGAAGAGCAACGATAACTTCGCGCGAAATTCAGTTTCAAAAAGCACAAACTGCAGTGATATGACGAGATTAAACTTATTGAAGACATTTTTAAATGTATAGCAAATCTGCAGACGGTTTGCAAGGAAATGTAGAGAAAAATGGGTGATTATCACACGAGAAACATGGATAATCGACAGCTATACTGCTGAGCTATGGCGCGTTACTGGCCAACGCCTTTGAACGAACACACGAACGCACGCGCGTTCGTTACACTTGGGTTACAAACGCGTTACGTTTCTAATTGAGCAGCAATGAAAATGAGTTTTTCACTCGGTTTGCTTATTTTTTCAATAATTTTTAGCAAAATTATATATATAAAAAGTATTATAAGCATTTCTCAGGGGCAAATTTACTAATGATTAGAAAATGCATTGCAATTCCTTCATAGTTGAGAGTTTAAGTTGAGACACATACTAAATGTCTCACTTCCTGAGACGCCCACGGGGCCGAAAATTTCTCTCTGTGTTATTGCAGTGTGCTTCATGCTCCACACCACCCTGTCTAGACGTGGAGCCGTGCCACGCCGACGCCCTCTGATCACGATCATCCATCGCAGATCCCTTGGAAGGACGATGAATGGCCTGAAAATTATCCGCCATCAAATGACCAATTCCAAATCGCGTCGGAAAATGTTGCACTCCTTTAAGTATTCAGCCACGGGACGCTCCGCAGCCCGCAGACTTTGGTCCTTCAGGAGAAGTTCCTCCAGTTTCTTCGCATCACTGCCAATTCAGCGATCTGACACATTTTACTCAAGTTCTCTCTAAGATACCGGACAAACTGCCTGAACGAACTGGTCTTCTGTTTCACATTCCTGAATTTAGATTGATAATCATAAATAGTGAAACCGAAGGTCTTGACAATTTGAAGTTTCATCGCCCCGTAGGACAACTCCAGAGATAAGGTGCTGAGGAAGTGGCTGACCTTGGTATATGCAAAATCATTCAGCAAGGCTGTGACTGCAATGCTGTCGCTCCACTGGTTTGCTTCTTTTACCTTCTCAAACGTGTTGAGATAAATAGACACATCCTCTCCCTCCATATAGGCGGCCAACTTGACGAATGACCTGTCTGCAGCGGGGCCGGTGGGGGCGGAGTTGGCTTGCAATCTAGCAAGCTCCAGCTGAGTTTCTCGTGAACTTATCTCATCTCCGAGCTTCAGCTTCTCTAGTTCAAGCGCTCGGAGTTTACGTTCGTGTGCCTGCTTCCCCCTCTCCACCTCCTGCTCTGATCTCTCGATAACTCCAACTTCCGCGCCTCGCGTTCCTCCTCCTCCGATCTACAATATGCTGCCTTTCGTTCACTAACATAGTTGCGCAAATCTTGCCCTTCAAATCCCAGGTTTTTAACATCGGTAATAAAAGTTGAATCTAGTGGAATTCTGACTCCGAGCGATACATAATAGGAAACAATTGGCATTGGATACCCCCGTCCGTGACAAGTTAATTTTACCAGCCAATCCTCATACTGGCCACCAATGTAAGGATCCGGCCTCCGAACACCGAGCAGCCGGTAACCTCACCTAACGGTTCGCATTGACCATCCTTGTCCCACCTACCAATGACCGGAGCTGAATGGGTAAATAGAGGCCCAATTGGCTGCGAAGCAATGCTTGAGGCGGGCGGGATTTATGACCAGCGGCAAGTTTCTCAAAGTTTATTAAATAACAAATTCAACAAGTAGTCTACTACGGAGCTAAGACGCGGAGAAGAGAGAGAGAGTGAGTTAGCTGAGGGACACAGTTCTTGATCCTAGGCGACTGTCAGGTAATCCCCTGTAAGCGAGTCACTAGTACGAAAGTCAGGATTGACACATCTGCTACTTCCAGCCTCGGCCCACCTCAGCGCCGGTATACCTAATCTCTCCGGTCTGATTGCAAGTAGGGAATTTGCAGTCTACATACAACATTTCATGTAGTATTTGAATCATTGTGAGATGTTTGAACCGTTGTGAGCTGTGTGAGTCTTGTTGAGATGTTTAATCTGGTCGGGGGTTGTTGCAGCTATGTCGGCGTCCGCCGTTATCTGTTGCCCTCATAGCCGTTATCTGCTGCCCTCATAGCCGTTATCTGCTGCCCTCATAGCCGTTATCTGCTGCCCTCA